ATCCACCACCCCATTTCCACTTTTCACCAACTCTGCCCCTGACATTCTCTCTCATGTAAATTCAGTTTGCTTTTTGATAGGAACCTCGCTAGCCACTTTCCGTAAGTGAGTTATCGCGAGCCGGAAAAGTGCCGAAGTCAGAGCAATGCTGCAGAGAATGACAGACAAGTTTCGGCTAAGATCTCAAGTCTCTTTATCGATTGAGAAATCTTCAGGTACAGGTAATGGTACGAGGTACAGTTAATGAGTGGGTATATGACGCCCAACAACCAAGGGAGTTCCTACCTAAGCGCTTGAACGCTCAGTATGTGGTCAATCAAGGAAAGAAAACATGAGGCTAAGGCTACGGCTGCGCCTACAATTCAGATTTCTGCACGATGAATCTGCCTAAGTTAGCACATCGTCTGCTGTGAGCTGTCGCCTGAATGCGGCATTCGAAACCTCGAAAGAATCGCTAGCATTAAGTGAGAGATCCCGATTGCGGAGCAGATTCATTGGCTCTGGAAACGTCTTCGTATCCTGTTCTAGTGAAGTTGAGATCCAGCAAGGGAACGATCTGCCTGCGATCCAAACCAATTTAAGCACCCAGTTCCTGTTCATAATCATCAGGGGATGAAAAACTTCCCAACGATACACTTCCACCTCCACGCTGTTCCCTTCTCCCAATCAGACTAGAGCGTGGGTAATAGAACATGCTTGTGTGATATGCCTATCGTTGGATTTTCCATTACCACCTCACTTTGTGGACCGAATGGGATCGTAAAAAACAGAGCTATTGCTTGCTTGCTGTTATATAATTGTTTTCTGTGTATGAATAGCACTCTCAGATTTGTTTGTTGCATTTGGCATTGGTGTTTGTTTGGTGTCGCAGAGGGACACTTGACAAACGTCTACAGTCTAGTTGCCACAGTAAGGGAACATAAAAAAAANAAAAAAAACTGCTGAGGCTAGCAAAGTTGTGGCGAGAACCGTTTAAGTGACAGGGATGACAAGATGTACCTGTCGCAGCAGATGTGAACATCAAGACTAACTTCTGACTCAATTGAGCTCTGAATAGACAAAGTGGAACCTCGATTCCTCCTGTTGGCCCGATGAAAACTTTGATTCCGAGCAAGTGTCAGGGAAGTGTTTGAAGCTTTTCTTTGGAGCGCTTCCATTGCCTTTCCGGCCGTTCAGAAGTTTTCTCTAGAGGTTGGAAGTAGTCTTGGAAGCCAGTGTCTACTGACTTCCAAGACTGCCTACCCAGAAGCTTTCTTTATAGGTTGGAAGTAGTCTTGGAAGTCAGTGTCATTTCTCGTAGACCCAAATAAACACGAACCTCCCTGCCCCCGTAGGGTAAAACTCAAATGAGTAGCGGTGTAGTAGAAGAAGTTCCACATTCGAAGTTCTATTTCCACGTCACTCAGTTTGGAGCTCAGTTTGGAGAGTCTGCTTCATTAATCACACTCCATTCATCATTCTCTACAAATAAAGGTAGAGGGTAAGCATCAACTATTACCCTGGGTTCCGAAGCACGACCGTCCATGAAACGAACCGACACTCATTAATGGTCATGTCTTCCTGACCGAGAGAAATGGCTTTTTTAGAGAGCGCCATCAATGAGGAGCATTGCAGCTCAGCCATTATTATAAGGAAATGAGCCTTACAAGCCCATGTGATGAGACGAGATGATTGATAGCAGGCTCACTCACTGACTGGATTATGAGCTTCAAGATGGGGCCTGAAAGCGATAGATATCGTGAAAGAGTGGTGTTTCAAAATTGCGATGGTTCCAGTTCGTCCGTGCGACCTGTGTGTTACCACGTGAAGGCTATAATACTGTTAAAATCGCCTGAATCCTGAGCCTACCATTGCAGTGGTACATTCGTAAACTGTAGATCAACCAGAAATGTTTACAAAAGCATTTGGCTTCTGTAAACATTAACAGATGCCAATTAGGTTTCAGAATTAAAATCGCCTGAATCCTGAGCCTACCATTGCAGTGGTACATTCGTAAACTGTAGATCAACCAGAAATGTTTACAAAAACATTTGGCTTCTGTAAACACTAACAGGTTTCAGAATTGTACAATGCTGAATTGCATAGGTATGTGGTATGAATTCACCGAAACCGAGCCACATCCGAACCGCGCATTATAATCAGACGACTAACAGATTGTACCCCTTCCACAGCAGCCAAACCTAGAATTTATGGTCCGCTGCATGCTGTAGGTCGGTGAAGATGGAAGAAAACTGACTCGTGAGTTTGCTGGCCCCACCTTGGTCACTCTATTTGTACTACGCTTTGATTCTGAGTGGGACTTGAATGTGGGGTGTGTAGGAAAAAAATGGGTCGATTAGCATTGATAATTCTACTTACAGATGATCTTGTTATGTGAACTTCTATTTGCTCTATCAATTTTTTTTTATTTATTTTACTATTCGGAGTGAGTGTGGTACAGTGGCAAGCAACGAACTATCACACACGCATGGTCACGGGTTCGAACCTTGAATCGATATCCGCTTAAGGCAACCAAGCCTTCCATCCTCTCGGATTCAGCTAATTGGTATCAAACTCGTACGGATAAAAGTACTGTCTTGTACATAGGCTGGCCACCACAAGCCATTGTTTAGGGCATATACGCATTCAATACGCTACTACGATTCTGAATGGAAGTTGAATATGGGGCGCATCCCTCAGATGGGATTGATCGACGGCCAAGACCTTATCTTTTGAGCTATTATTTTGTTTATCATGTTTCTTATTAGTTTTCCATTTCCCATGGTTTCTCTTCCGGAGTTATTGCTTTTCTCTTCAGTGTCCGCCAACCGTCACTGACTCATTTAAAAAACTTTACCGTGTGTTTTTTGAAGTTTTAAAGAGCCCATGGGCACGACTATGATTGCTTTGAAATAGCCTATGGTAGACCGTGGGTGCGTGAGGCTTCGACCAAGTTTGCCGGTTCCCCGTTTTCCAAAGCACCGGAAACTTTCCTCGCACCGCGAATGTGGCTAAGGCTAGTTGCTCCTAACATTAATCCTCGTGCCAATTCCAAACGTCCGAAATTACTGTTCACACAGGCTATTGAATTTCACCCTTCACTAGGTTTGGGTTCCAGACCTATACTTATGGCTGGGGCGTCCATCGTGAGGAAGACCCTGTGAACGTGCACACTAGCTAGTTTAATCCATTTTCAGTTAGACAACACCATACCGTGAACCACTACCCCTTCACATATTGGATGCTTCGTGGAGAGCGGAGCCTTTCATGTTGATTTTGGCAACCCGAGTGAGCGGGAAAAATGTGCCAACACACAAAAACCTCAACATCTATGCGCTTTGTTCCCAGCCGACAGATGTAAACGAAATTCTATAGCTGGGCTGCAATCGGTGTTCACACATTTTTCGTCTCCCATGAATTCCGCGGACACTTCTTTCACCACGGCTGTCACTTGGCTCACAGGAACCTCACTGACTTGAATAACTCTGAGGATGATACAGTCGCGTCTCTTACCCCAAAGTTTTCTCAAGGCTCACTCGTGTGAATTGTCATCGACTTCGAGGGTTTTGACCCCTCCCACTTCCCCTCACATCTCGACAAATCTGATCAACTAGTATGCATTCTCGTTTTTTGCCCGTCTCAATGAGCTCTGGGAGACAGCAGGAACCACCTCGTTGGCACAGCAAGGTTCTGCCCATGCCACGTGCATCAGTGATTGCCCGACCGCTAAACCAAGATTGCCCACTTTTTCAAATAGCTGTTAGAGCAATAATTGGGTGAAAAAGTACCCAAACAAGGATCTCTGATGAAATGTATGGAGGGAATTTAACGAGAAACGAAATTCAGCTAGAAAGACCTACGAATCTGAAATACGAGAACGAAAAAAAAGAAAAAAGTGGTAAGGAACGCATGAGATAAGCGGTTGTAGTGAAGTCGCGTCTGGCAGTGTTGGAACATTGCACGCATACGGTATGGAGACGGGATGCCCAAGAACTGACTCTTCAGGCTTAGCGTCGTTATTTGCCCTTCTTGTTCACCCTTTCGCCGAACCAAATCAACAGCACTAGAGCATCAAGTGTATCCCTTTGATGGAGGCGCGGTCTTGGGCTAATGGTAACATCGTGTAACCTCAGAATGTATTAGAACAAACCTGAATGATTGACCGTAATTACACGTTATTTGAAAAAATTAAATTTTATTTATCTATTTATTCATTTATTTAGATCATAGAATGCTTTCGGCTAGATGATCTCGTAGACATCGCTTCTCTTGAAAATACCACCATACAAGATCACAATGCTACTTTGCCTACCTTCATCAGCGTTTGCTTAAGCGATTGGTATTAAAATGATCTAACCAATGAGCTTTCTGTAGTTGCGCATTTATTAGAGCAGTCAATAAATAAATAAATAAACAAATAAATAAATAAATAAATAGAACTCGAGAATAAATAAAACTTTCAAGAATCCTCAGATGCTTTGTTATCAATAGGTGGCCCAGCTATACTCTACGGCTAATGAAAAGCAGCATTCATTCGTTTCTGAAGTCTTTTTGCTACGGTTGTCTCCCTTTCCCACGCTAGATAACGAGGCACTGGGATTCCACTGAACGGCGATTTCAAAGGTTTTTTTTTCCTTTTATCGATCTTTCACTCATGCTTTCTCAGAAAATGGCTTTCCTGAGGCCGTAACTGGAGTTATTCAGGAAGTATTTTATGTCCAGAGCTTCCTATGAATTTTGTCCGTGGGTTGACGGACAGCTAGTCACTCCATAGTTCACCGTCATCTATCAATAATTAGGCAGCTTACATCAACATGCATGGTAAAACAAAGAGCAACCAAGTAGGACGTGATCATTTACACTTCAATTTTATAAGTAAAATCTTATTTTTTTCAAAAACGATGTGATGTCATAGATGTCATATGTGAGGGACACAAAGCCTAGGACCACACAGCTTGGGGAGAATCCACTGCCTTCGCGGAACGGAGATGGTCAGCAGCTTATAAGACACGATGGCCCATCTAGGCCAAAATCTGTTGAAGGGTACCTGAGAGTATGGCGTCCTGCCGGTCACTCTGTTCGAGTTTTCGCGTCGAAAGCGACTGCTGTGGAAGCCATCCTTCAAGCTGATCACGATTACCCAACTTTTCCGGGTCTATTCGGGTCTCTGAATGATAGCGATACTCGATTCGACGGCTAGCGACGGTTGTGTTGTCCTTTTGTGACCTGTAACAGTAATCACTTTGATGTAGTGAGATGGAGGGTTGAATTGAACCTGTAGACTATAAGACTGCCATGAAGCTGGACAAAGGATAGTTACCCAGGTTTTGTAGAGACTTTAGCGAAACCGGGTCAGACAGCTACTTGTATACACTGGACTAACCCGTAACAGTCCCACTCAGATCGGCTTTTGTGCTGCTCTGACGCAATGGGCGCATCAAAGCGTCTCTGCCGAACACCCGTAGGCCTTCCATCTTCGGCTCGATCTTCTTGTAAAACACTTCGTCTCACATAGGCATCAGGATCGATTCTTAAAAAAGGTACAATAACTTCATTGCCAGTATTCAGGTACATCAAAAAAATCCAAGAAAACTTTTTCTTGGGTGGAAATGTAGTTCGGGGAGTAGGGGCATCGCCTCATCCAACACAGAGCGCTAGAGCGTATTTAAGAAGGGGTAGTCGATCTCACTTATGCGTAGAGAAAGTTCTTACAAATAGAGAAAGTAGTAGTATTATTTCACCTACACCCTTGATATGAGGGGAAGAGCTCCGGAGTGGGTGAAATGATTACCTCGTACAAAAAGCTAGGATGGGGTAGTGGGATAGCATCTGAACATCCGATTAACTCATCCTTCCCGCTGCTCCTCTTCTCCTAAGAGTCTCCTAAGAGGTAGAAGGAAAAAAGCTATATCCTCTGTTAAAAATCGTTTTTAAGTACCACTACAGACTCGCAGAGCCGGCTACCCCTTTGCGTTCAATGTTGGAGAACAGCAGAACCCCCTCGCTACTTCTTCATTTCACCCTGTTCAGCTATGAAGATGATTATTCCTAAGTTTTAAAGGAACTGAATTTCAACCAATGACTTTTCAAAAGGAAATCCGACGCAAGTTCTTTTCTTTAGGCCTGCCATAACACTCAACCTCAGCGGCGATTGAGAAAGTAAACAGATATTTCTTTTAGAAAGCTTATCCTTGCATGGCGACAACGAACATTTTTTGCATCAAAAAAAGCATAAAGCCGACTGAAACAGAAAAATCAGAAAGCAAAAAATCCTATCCATCGAATTAGAGTGAGTTGACCTGAGCGATTTTGTGCCCATAGGACGACATAAAGCATGCGCAAAGAATATTTCCAACAACCCTATTGGAGAGGATTTCCCTGGAAAAATTCTCCTTGAGAGAGGGTGAAAATTCGATTTCTGAGAGCACCCCATTTTTCTAGTTAATTTGTGGGTTACCACACAATATCGAAACGCTAGCGCTTTCCTACTGAAGGGTTATAGTGTCTCCGAAAAGCAGCACCAGTTCAATTCACTTCCGTTTAGGAATTTCGAAACTGCTGCTCTTGAATGCCTGTCCAAATAGCTCTGATGATGTGCTTTTTCGATTCGATTCTGCTGACGGATCATCGCCGTCAGAGGACGACGAGGGGATGCGTCAACGATGCCGTCCGCTGCAAACAAAGGCGCGCCTGTGTGGTGATCGAACTAAGCATGCATGCAGCTCCACAACCACCACTTACCATCGAAGGGAAAGCCACAAAGACTGACCTCCTGTTGTGCGCAATCCTTACAGCACAGCATTTTGCCCCCATCTCTTTCGTACGACGTCAACAAAAACTTCCTTTCACAGCAGGTCCAGCCATTGGTCGATCGATAACCGTCAAAAGCAGCACTGATAGTAGGCCTAATTCAACGTTTTGTAAATAACAATGGAAATGAAATCGTGACGTGAGAGATTGGCGATGTCAGCAGAGAGGGTAGGCAGCACGAGCACGAACAGGAGAACAGCTATTCCAATGAGAATCACCGGTAGGAAAGTGGGTGGATTGCTATCGGGGAGCCGACGAGTGCATTCACTACTTTGGGCAGCTGTCAATCGTTTTGGTCCGGGGTGTATATAACGTGGAGCGCCTCCATAAAAGAGCCAAATCATCCACAATCATTCTCCATCGTGGCAAGCGACCAAACATTTTTGGAAACGCTTTCACCCTTTCACATAGCTGCTCGACCTGGCACTCAGTGGGTACCAGCAGGACGGGATACGGCAAGAAATTGAAGCAGTGGAATTAAGAGGTGGGAATAAGAAGAAACGGCTAGACCGCAGTGGTCCTGGACGGGGCACTTAGCATAAGCTACGTGAGGTGGACATCGCTCATGGTGTAACATGAAGAAAAAATTTATGAGAGTACACAAACGAAAGAGGAATTTCAACGGGAAAAGAAAGGCGACGGATAAAGTTGTTCAACATGGTGTCCCACGACATAATGGAAATTTTTCTGAAACCAATGTAAAACCCAAGGGGGAGGAGCGATCCTCCCACGTAACCGAAACGACTTTGTCTCTATAGAATCGCAGAAATGCCGCCACAGGCCTAAGAAACGTTTTTTTGCTATCATGATTTGCACCCATGGTGCCCTCCATATGACAGCAAGGAGGTTGAGTTGGTTCTTCTTCTCTTCTTTTTCACTACCCTTCCGATTTATAAAGGTGTAGGAGAGAAAGGAGACAAACAAGTCGAGATTCTGCGTATGTGTACCAAGATTCCTGAGAAAGCAAGAAGATGAAAATTTGGTTTTTTTTTCAGTAAAAGGTAGCTGAAAAGTTGAAAATGTTCAGGTTCAGGTAAACATAAAAGTCGGGGTTATGTGAAGAGCATGCTTATACATTCAATAGACAATAATGAGTCTCAGACCCAAGAGGAGCCGATTATGCATTCATATAAATGAAATTGAAGCAAGGTGAATGTAGTCGTGATCGCTGGTATCCATTTTACCCGATAATGACTGGAGTTAGTAATTTCAAGGTCTCTGTCAATACATAGGCTATTTCGAGAAAGGGCCAAGGGAGATGTCCCCTTGAACTAAACCCAACCGCCTCTTCAATGGATTACATAGTATTATTCAAGTGTATGAGCCCTGGTAAGGATTTAAGACTGAGGTAGTGCTAGCCCGCCCCCTCGATTCGCGATTCGATAGTAATTTGTACCCGGGAAGAGCATTGGCGAGCGCCAGCTGAAAAGAGGGAAATGAAAAAGTAAAAGTGGGTGGAGCTTGAAATATTCAGGCGCAGACTACTAGTGAAGGACAACAACAAGCATGTTCATGGCCTATCCTTCAACGCGTTCCAAAACCATAGAGCGATCCCCTTCTTTGAGAAAAACCAAGAATAAGCCGTTCAATTGAGCACTTCGAGGAATTTTCGAACAACTTCTCGAGGCTCTGAGACGATCTATGGGAAACTTCGTCGCCCTTTTCATTACCAGTTGTTTGCTGAGTATTTCCCTTATTTTTTTGGGCAATTTTGCATTATGTTTTGCTGCCTTGCTCCTTTGTGTACACACAGCATTACATTATTAAATATATTTATTTAATAAATAAATTTCCCCTTGGAAATTCATGTTGTGATATATAGCCCTGTAATTTAGTTCAACTTCTGAAAGGAGGATTAAACCACAAGTATGGTGAAGAACGAGACCGAGCGACGCCGGAGCCGGGTGGAAGAAGGACTGCATAGGAAGATGCAAGATGAAGTTGTACATGGTATTACCTAAGTGTTGTAAAGTAGTAGCTCCAATCTTTTTGCATGGAGATTGACGGGACTGAACAAAGCAGGTTTTTTAGGGATAGATACGAAGGTAACGTATTTTACGGACCTTTTTGGGTTCTTTTCGTTGGTGCCCTAGCTACAACACAGTGCCAGCGCTTGGGTTGTTGTTCTATAAATCTTCTAGAACCCCTCGAATTTTGGTGGAAAAAAATTGGATGGATTGTAGGATCATGACGGTTAACGTGTGGTCATTCTTCTAAAGAAGCCTAGAAAGTGGAAGGTGGGAGTAATCTATTGATGGATGGGAAGGAATTGTCCAATTAAAATTCTTTAACTTTTTCATGAATTCTTTTGGTAATGTAGGGTCAAGTGTCACCGAGAAGAAAGTGGAATCGTCCTTGTTCTCTTTTTAGCTCGCTGGCCAAGCGGTCGAGTTGTACAAGGTTGAAATCCCTATCAAGTTTGACATTTCTAGGCACGAGTTNGTTGTTCTATAAATCTTCTAGAACCCCTCGCCTTTTGGTGGAAAAAAATTGGATGGATTGTAGGATCATGACGGTTAACGTGTGGTCATTCTTCTAAAGAAGCCTAGAAAGTGGAAGGTGGGAGTAATCCATTGGTGGATGGGAAGGAATTGTCCAATTAAAATTCTTTAAGTTTTTTCTGAATTCCTTTGGCAATGTAGGGTCAAGTGTCACCTAGAAGAAACTGGGATCGCCCTTGTTCTCCTTTTAGCTCTCTGGCCAAGCGGTCGAGTTGTAACGGTTGAAATCCCTATCAAGTTTGACATTTCTAGGCACGAGTTCCCAGCCAAGAACTCTTTGGTATTCTACCAAAACAGGGAAGGATCACTTCTAGATGAAGCTCGGCTTAGGCCGTAACAAATCCACGATCGGAAGAGTTGAGCCTCTGCCGCTTGCACTGGACTGGTTTGCGAAGAGCACCAATGTAAGTAGCTAGTCCAAGGTATGAAGGTAGATTAAAAGGAACATGGCCATATCAGATCGTGTGCGAAGGCGTTGGTGGCTGAATCCACGTGGGATCCGAATGCTACATTTCGAGATCTTCCCTAATCCATGGAAGTGGGTCAGTATTGCGAGTTGCTGTACCCGGAGCTCTCTACCATATATCGCGCATCCCGTGTGGGATGCCGTTGGACGTCCCAAAAAGTGTCAAAACCAAGGATGATCCGACGATCAGGGTTTGGCTCGTCATCATCAGAAGGATTCAATTTTTCGATCGACTGCAGCGCCGATTCACTTTTGCTTGTTGGTATGTGCCCTCGCCCGCAATCTTATCTATGTTCCGAAAACCTTAGTTTCAAGTGAATTCAGGAGGTAATATTCAGGAATAGGGGCTAGAAGGGCTTGATGCGATATTGACGTCATCTCCATGACGAGTGGCGAGAGCGTGAGCTGAATGACCTTTGCAGATTGCGAAAGTTGCTGACAACTCATCAGGCAGGGGCGAAACTCCAGCGATGCTCATAAGATTTTCACAGCAATTAAGGGAAAGTGGTCCGAAATATGGGCCAACCACTACAAGACTGGCAGGTTAGTCGGCCCCTTGTGAATGCGAAAAGAAAGCCCTGGAAAGGAAACCATTACAATCAATATTTTTTGTTCTGTTCAGGGTTGAATAGGAAAAGAAGTCCAGGAGAAAGAACCAGATTATAATAATTGTCAAAGACTCTCATTGTGGAAGTTTCAAAGGCTTTCATTCGTATCAATTGTCTTCTCTTAAGCTGTGATCTCATTCGGCCATTTAAAAAAGGCATTTAGTGGAAGAAGAACATCCGCCTTTCCGATTCTGCTGTCTTCCTGTCTCTGAGCCCTCGAAGAGCGGGCTCTATCCACTGCGCTACGGGCAGGGCAATGTTTGAATTTCTCCGTTCCACGCAAGTGCCCGAAGAAATTCCAGAGTTCTGTGGAGTTCCGAACTCCGCCAGGGAACTTCATTGAAGTATTGAATGATGCTTTCTGGTTACTTCCGAAATGGAGCAAAGATCAGGGATGAAACGAAATCAGCTGGACAGGACCCGTTAGATTTTCCGATAACCGTTGTACCATCCCTGGATCCATCAAAGAAGCACCGGTAAGGCCCTGTACATGCGTCGGGCTTTCACTGAAGTATTGAACAAAACTCTTTAGTATTTCTTCTCAATTGGTCCGAGCTTAGATGTCAAAGCATGTCTTAATGAATGTGAACTCTATAAGGGTCTCAAGCATGAATCCGAAAAGCAATCAGGAAAATGAGGTTGATAGCAAACGTACTCATTATAATGATAGCTCTCAAAGGCGGCGAAAACGCAGTTGTGGGGAGGCAAATGAACTCAAATTCTACTATTGTTCCATACCTATACAGTTGAAGACCATTGAAGATTGAGCGTCTCATAATGATACCCTTGGTTAACCTACCACCTATTTTGATTTCAGACCACCAGGATACGGAGGTGGATTTCGCCGCAAGGGGGTAAAAATGAAGCTGACCTTGGATTTAGTCCCGCCTCACCAAAAATTGGTGAAATCAAATGAGTAGGATGCTCTCGGAAAACATCCCATGTATCTATCAGATTAGCAGAACCATTAGGGGAGTCAGGGGCTGACTTCCACAGGACGGTCTTTTCGCTTGCTTTTCAGATGCGTATCCCCATCAAGTTCTCAGCTTCTAAGCTCGGAATCCCAGCCCTTCCTAGGATCATGGTCAGACTAGCCGAGGGTCACATACAACACGCTGCGGGAGGAGCAGTGTTTGAATTTCACCGTTGAAACCGGGGCAATCTAATGGGAAAGAGGATATTAAAGTCTTTGGAAACATGAAATATCCCAGAAGGGTTAACACCCAGAGTAGGCGTCGAAAGACGCCGGCGATGAAACTTTCTGCCAATCGAGCTTTTTAGGTGGAACTGTTATTGAGTTAACGGCCTGACTCTTCAAAGTAGCCGTCGTCTTCAGGGGCTTTAACAGTATTTTAAGTGGACAGCGGATTTCACCCGATTTGGTGTACTACTTCATGAAGTGGGTTGTTCTCCTCGAATTAGTTTAGC